TCCGCACGCATTTCCGGGCTCAAAGTTACACTTTTCCGCACTCAGTGCGGATACAGGCCTTATCCGCACTGAGTGCCGAAAAGTAATTATAATTGTCAAGCAACAATAAGTGCACCTGTCGACTTTGACACATGATGACAAATTTTTCCTCTGTTTCTATATCAGCCAACATCTATACAAACACCAAATATAAATTAACTTTGACACATTGTCAGATTTGTTCTCTATTTATATGCAAAAATCTACAAACTTTCTCATCAAATTTAAACGCTTTAAGATGAACAGCTCTGATGAGGATTTTCTGTTATTTTTTTTTGTTATGTAATTTTTTGATAAATGCATAGGTTCCCTTCAAGTTAATTAAAAATAATTAAACAAATTATCGTTTTTTTTTTAAATTTTTGTTATTACCTACCTGATATGAAGCTCGTAGGAAAAATTTTGTTCCTAACACGTGCGCAAAATGTCTTTTCCGCACGCAAACACGTATCCGAACTCCGCTTCGCGTCGTTCGTATAACTGTGTTTGCGTGCGGAAAAGTAACACTTTGCGCACTTGTTAGGAAAATAACTATTTCCAAAATTTTCATTTGTATCAGAATTAGGTGCTTTTTAGGTGGTCCTAGATTGTCGAAGAAAAAATAGAATTGATTAATTATTAACTCAGTTACAGATTTTTTTTCAATAATAAGGGGACTGCTGGCTTTAAGTTTACTTGGAGGTGTATTTGCAACGAATCTAATGACAGGGCTAAAATGTTATATTGGAATTAGATGCTATTTACGTTCTTCTAAATCGTCGAAGAAAAACTTGAATCAGTCAATTATTAACTGAATTACAGATTTTTTTCATTATTGGAGGATTGTGTTGGAATTAGGTGCAATTTAAATGTTTTTAATAGTTCAAGAAAAATTTGAAACACCTAATTATTAACTAAATTAAAGATTTTTTTTTCATTATTAGGCGATTGTTGTCTTCACGTTTATTTGGTGGTGTGTTAGAGGATAACATGTTTCTGGATAGGAATTAGGTGCTATTCAAGTGTTCCTAAATAGTAAGGGTGGGAAAAATAATCGAATAATCGAATAATAATCGATTATTTTATTGATAGCAGTGCTATTTTTTAACATTGAAAAAATATATTTCAGACCTAATCTAAAATGTACATGCAACAAGTAAAAAAAAAGGATAAAAATAATATTCCAAAGTACACGAATGTCGAATACATAGTATATGTAAAAAAAAACTATTCTTACAGAAAAATTTTAAAATTACTTAATTTGAATTCAAAGATTAATCAAAAATAATCGATCACTCGTAAATAATCGATTAGTCGAAAATTAGCGATTAATCGACAATGATCGATCCATAACCGGCTTGGCGCCCCTGTGAGTTTTCGCTAATGGGTACATTTTCTGTACAAATTTTTGCGCGTGGCTTCGGGGCCCAGTGGCGGCTCGTCAGAGGAGGCAGGGGAGGCTAAGCCTCCCCCAAAAAATTGAAAATTCAATCTCAGTTTTTTATTCCTGATTTTTAATTAAAATAATAATTCACAAATTACACTGTCCAAATTTCGGTATTTCAATGTAATTTAGAAAAATCTGACAACATTATTTCAATCAATCCCGCGCCTCTGCGACAAAAATCTTGAATGTGGAATACTCAGTACTACGAGCCGGAAGGAAACTCCGGTGGGCCGGAGTTATACGCGAGCCCGAAGGGCCGGATTTATACGCGAGCCCGAAGGGCCGGAGTTATACACGAGCCCAAAGGGCTAAAGTTATTTTAATCACGGGGCCCAGTCTATAATTCTATTGGTCAGTGGATAATTTGGAGCAAATCAAAAATCGGGAATATTCAAAATGTGATTTTAAGTCGATATTCCGAGTGTCAGTTTTCTCTGATGTACCGGAAAAAAGTTAGCCTCCCCATCTTTCTTGATTTTGAATTTTTTTTTCCGAATTTGAAATTCTTTGTGATTTTGTTAAAATTTTCGAGGTCGATTTTCTCGAAAACGGTCCCCGTGGATAAATACTTCTTAGATACTTTTTTGTAGTATTTGATGAGATCTACAAGTTTTGTATTTGAAGTTTTGCTCGCGAGCTTTTTGTTTTCGAGTTAGGTCGCTTTGAAAATTAAAAAAAAAATTGGAAGGTTTATATCCTCAGGTTTTTTTTTCGAAAAAATTCAAATTGTAAATTTCGAAAAAAAAAAAAAAAAAAAACATCGGAAAGAGAAGTAAAAAATACGTCGAAAAGTTAATTTGACTCTCCTCGCTACGGCGCATCTTAAGGCCGGAAAAAATGAAAAAGGAAATTTCGATTTTGACCAGAAAAAAATTGTGGGTACCCGACATGAGGCCACTTTGTCAGAATCCTTGTCCTGCAATTATTCTGACATTAGAGGTCGACTGGAGGCTAGACTCTCACATGCTCCAGTGAAATCTAGCATTCAAATCGACCGCGGATCTGAGCGTCCAATAGAAATGCCGGAAACATATCGAACCACTACTGGCATTCAGCGACCATAGTCGAAGAGCGGCTAGCCGCACGCATAGTTGAAAACTGCCATCTTTGCTTTTTTTTATTTCTCCACGAGCCGCCACTGTCGGGGCCCCTTTACCACCGTACCCCGGTGCGCCGTACCGAACTGTCCTACGATAGCTACGCCACCGATTATGTTGATCAAAATTAAATAGCATTTTTCATCATGAATGTATATTCTAAACTACGACCGCTGGCGTAACTAGCTGACGACGTAGTTGATGATGTCGTCAATGGTGCTGCACCATATGGTCGCGATTTCCACAAACGCCGATAAGCAATTCTGTGTAGTAGGTAAAGGGTCTGTTCCCATAGGAGTCTTTGACAGTTTGCAAACTGTCAGTAAGCATCGCCCATACATGTTTCCAATGCTGTAGTTCCAAGATTAATCTGTAACTCAGCTGAGCGATTGTTTCTGACAGTTTGCAAACTGTCAAAGACTCCTGGGGGAACAGACCTATATTCTCCTTGCATTCGTACTCTTTCGAAACGAGAAACTTTCTGTGTGTAAGCATCAAACGTCAAACATTGTTGCATACATTTAGGGGTTTTTCGGAAACACTCATATTCTCGCACTTACTCGATTTCATGCCTATTCAATATCTTCTCTTGAATTTCCTAGAGAAACCCACTGATCTGAAAAATAAATGAATAAACAATCATAAGGCTTGATTGGCAAAATTTGTGCGAAAATTTGGGGTCAATATTTCACGAACAATTGTGCAACGGAACAGCCTAACGCCTGCGCAGTGTCTTATCTTTCGAACAACTGTTCTAAATTTTGAAATTCCTTCATTTTCATTGGCCAGACTTTATGCACACGTACATGTATCTACTAAGCACGCTCACAGCTGTCCGAGTCAGTTGTTTTTGCTTAGATTATGACCTCGTAAATTAGCAGCATTAGAAGCGTTCTTTGTTTATCCATTTATTTTTGAGATCAGTGGACACACCAACAAGTAAACGTAAAGCCAGCAGTCCCCTAATAATTAAAAAAAAATCTGTAACTCAGTTAATAATTAATCAATTCTATTTTTTCTTCGACTATTTAGGAGCACCTAAAAAGCACCTAATTCTGATAGAAAAGAAATTTTTGGAAAAATATTTTTTACTAGGCTACTACTACTACTAGCTTTGATAAACCTAGCAATCCCTTAGTTTTTTTTGATTTTCTCAAAAACTAGAGGAGCACCTAATTTTTAATTAGAGGCCCTAATTAGCACCTGAAAAGCACTTAATTATTATATGTATAGATTCCGAAGTTTTTTTGCCATTCTGACACACCAACTAATGAACCTAAAGCCAGCAGTCCCCCCTAATAGTTAAAAAAAAATCTATAACTCAATTAATAATTATTCAATTCTATTTTTTCTTGTACCATTTAGGAGCACCTAAAAAGCACCTAATTCTGATACAATGAAAAAATTTGATAAAATATTTTTTACTATAGGGGACTGCTAGCTTTTATAAACCTAGCAGTTGCGCCCTCAGTTTTTTTTTTTGATTTTCTCAAAAATTAAAGGAGCACCTAATTTTTAATTAGAGGCCCTAATTAGCACCTAAAACGTTTTTTTCCACCTTGGGACTGCTAGGTTTATAGACCTAGTTTTTAAACTGAGAATAACTCACATTTGAGTGAGTCAGATTAGTATCGTAATTGAACAATATATTGATGAATGGATGGCTGCGGAACTCGCTGCGCTCGTCCCGCAGAGGTCCATCTATAAGTTTCGCAACAATTCACTCGTTTGTACTTGAATAGCTTGTCACAATATATTACTAGTTTGGTAAAGTAACATTACTAATTCCTGTTGAAAGGCGAATTGATAAAAAGTGGATAATCTTACAAATTCTGACTTTATATAATAAGTTATTGTTCAAGTACAAATAAGTGAATTCTTGCGGAACTATGGGTGGACCTCTGCGGGACGAGCGTAGCGAGTTCCGCAGCCATCTAATCACCAATATACTGTTGAACTGTTCAAGTAAAACATTCACCTGAAACGTGTAATTTTTAAACTAATGAGAATAACGCACATTTGAGTGAGTCAGTTTAGCATCGTATTTCATGTACAACACACCTCCTGTATGCCTACTATTCGAATCACATCTGACACATGTGTAGTTATCTATCTTAAATTCCCTATCTTCAATATCATTTGTTGTTTTCGTTTCACTTATGCCCGTATTACATATGTGTATTTTTCCGTGTATTTATTCATGTAGTTTAGGGTGCCAACATTATTTTGTTTTTCAAAATGCCGATTTATGTTGCGTTTGGAGTTTTTCGGTTGTCAACCTGAACTACATGAATAAATACACGGAAAAATACACTAGGGTACTTGCATGGAAAATTAAATTGATTATTGTTTATTGCAAACTGTAGGAAATCGAAAAAAAAATCGTGTAAGAAAACAGCTCTCAAACAAGCATTTTTTTTTTTTGGAAAAATATCCATTTATATTGCATACAACATTGAAGAAAAATTGTCTACTATACTAAAAGCTAAAAAAATGCGTTAAAAATTAAGTAACAAAAATATTTGTGCACTCGATACAGCTTTAAAAAAATTATTAATTGATTATTTGTATAAAATCAGATCTTTACTATTGTTCAATTAATAATTTTTATAATAATAATTATCAGCTAATAATAAAATAATTCGTATTGAGAATAAATGCAAACATCAACCGCCAGAGAGAATGACTAGAAAATTGTCTCAATAGAAAAAAATAAAAACTTCTTGCCGGATTTTGGTCCTTTACGCTGCAGATTTCACAGACTAAAAACAAGAAAAACAATTTATTAAACACAATTGAAATAATGATGGTTGAAAGTATGAAGTACCTCTTGTTAGTAAAAATGAATGAAATGGTTAAAAATCGCCAATGCCTCTGTGAGATTTGTCTAATACCTGTAATGAATTATTTATTGTATATTGAAGAACTAAGAATTATTTATCGTATATTGAAGCATAACTAATTACCTTGGCAATATCAACTCCCGTCATAGATTTGACCAAAGTAGGCACTCTATTGACAATATCCAAAACTTCTCCAGTCAATTTTGAAGCCCCAACTTCGCCGCTTCCAGTAGAAACCATAGTAATTTTTTTGGCTTGAGAAATAGGCGCAGCAACTTCAGCTACCATCTACAATTAAACATTAACATTACAAATATTTTCATAAGGCAATATTGCTTACTTTAGGTAAAACATCCAAAAACATATCAATCATGGCAGCTTCCTTGTAATCCTTCCAAGCTTCAGCTTTTTTAGCCATTTGTTCAGCTTCAGCCTTAGCTTTGGCTTCTATGGCATAAGCTTCAGCTTCACCTTTCAATCTTAAAGCTTCGGCTTCAGCCTCAGCTTCAAGCAACACCTTCTTGCGGTTTGCCTCTGCTATTTTTTCCAAACGGAATTTTTCAGCTTCGGCAGGTTGTCGCACTGTTGCTTCCAATTCGCGCTCTCTTCTAGCAATTTCTTGTTCTTGTACAGCAATTTGCTGAGTCCGTTCAACAACCATTATCTGCATTTCCTCTTCCTTAATCTTCTGTTTGGTTTTGGCCGCTTGTAATTCGTAAGCCATTTCGGCTTCGGCGTTTTTCGTTTGCACCTCCATGTCGTAGGCGGCCTTTTTCAGTTCGAAATCGCGCTTGGCTTTGGCGATTTCGGTGTCGTTGAGGAAAACCGAAGCCATTCTTTGTTCCTCGGCTATGGCCTCTTTAATGGCGGCGTCGGCTCGGGCTTCGGCTTCGCCGATACGGGCGTCGCGTTTCACTTCGGCGGTACGAGCCATGCCCAGACTTCTGAGGTAGCCCTGAAATGAATGGGAATGTTATAGAGGGAATTTTTGGAGAAATGTTTTATGTGGTTTTTTTGTTAAAATTTATTGGTTTCTCTATGGGAAATTAATTGCATTAGGGAAAACAGTGAAAGCAAAATCAACAAATAAGCGTACATTGAATTTCATAGGTTAAATTCCACATTGGAAATCATGACATGATTTATGGATAATAGCTCTTGCCATCCATAATATTTGAGCAAATTGATTTATATTCTATAGCATTTTAAAGAGCATTAAATTCTCTATAAAACTATGCTAAATTAGTTTTGATAGCTTCCAAAATGTTCAAGGTATTGATCCTTAAAGTTGGGCCTTTGGCTACATCTATCTGCGAATCTTTACATGTAATTACTAAGGTAATTACCTAACAAGGTGTTTGAGATTTTGTCTCCTAATGGTCATTTGTGATCCCCAAACTCCATACACTAAATTATTCTCAGATTTGAAGCCGAAATCTATAAAAAAAGGCACCCAGAGAAATTAAAAAATTGATAAATCTCCCCAAATTGCTTAACACGATTTTATCTCAAGAACTATAAGTGCAAACGAACTGAAATTTTCAGGGATTGTAGTCCTCTACTGGAATAAGAACCACTGAAAATTTCAGCTTCCTATCTATAATAGAAAAAAAGTCATGACCTTTCAAAGTTTTCCAAAATCTAAATCATAAGGTTTCTTCTTCTTACTAGAACGATGAAATTTCAATTTTTTGTTTTGTTGAGATTTTGTGTCCTAATGATCATTTCTGATCCCTCAAACTCCATACACTAAGTTATTCTCAGATTGAAACCGAAATTTATGAAAAAAAGCACTCAGAAAAATTGAAAAATTGATGAATCACCCCAAATTGCTTAACACGATTTTATCTCAGGAACTATAAGTGCAAATGAGCTGAAATTTTCAGGGATTGTAGTCCTCTACTGGAATAAGAACCACTGAAAATTTCAGCTTCCTATCTATAATAGAAAAAAAGTTATAACCTTTCAAAGTTTTCCAAAATCTAAATCACAAGGTAGGTACCTTCTTACTAAAACGATAAAATTTCAAATTTTTCTTTGTCGAGATTTTGTATCCTAATGGTCAATCAACATACCCCAAACTCCATACACTAAATTATTCTCAGATTTGAAGCCGAAATCTATAAAAAAAGGCACTCAGAAAAATTGAAAAATTGATAAATCACCCCAAATTGCTTAACACGATTTTATCTCAGGAACTATAAGTGCAAATGAGCTGAAATTTTCAGGGATTGTAGTCCTCTACTGGAATAAGAACCACTGAAAATTTCAGCTTCCTATCTATAATAGAAAAAAAGTTATAACCTTTCAAAGTTTTCCAAAATCTAAATCACAAGGTAGGTACCTTCTTACTAAAACGATAAAATTTCAAATTTTTCTTTGTCGAGATTTTGTATCCTGATGATCAATCAACATACCCCAAACTCCATACACTAAATTATTCTCAGATTTGAAGCCGAAATCTATAAAAAAAGGCACTCAGAAAAATTGAAAAATTGATAAATCACCCCAAATTGCTTAACACGATTTTATCTCAGGAACTATAAGTGCAAATGAGCTGAAATTTTCAGGGATTGTAGTCCTCTACTGGAATAAGAACCACTGAAAATTTCAGCTTCCTATCTTTAATAGAAAAAAAGTTATAACCTTTCAAAGTTTTCCAAAATCTAAATCACAAGGTAGGTACCTTCTTACTAAAACGATAAAATTTCAAATTTTTCTTTGTCGAGATTTTGTATCCTGATGATCAATCAACATACCCCAAACTCCATACACTAAATTATTCTCAGATTTGAAGCCGAAATCTATAAAAAAAGGCACTCAGAAAAATTGAAAAATTGATAAATCACCCCAAATTGCTTAACACGATTTTATCTCAGGAACTATAAGTGCAAATGAGCTGAAATTTTCAGGGATTGTAGTCCTCTACTGGAATAAGAACCACTGAAAATTTCAGCTTCCTATCTATAATAGAAAAAAAGTTATAACCTTTCAAAGTTTTCCAAAATCTAAATCACAAGGTAGGTACCTTCTTACTAAAACGATAAAATTTCAAATTTTTCTTTGTCGAGATTTTGTATCCTAATGGTCAATCAACATACCCCAAACTCCATACACTAAATTATTCTCAGATTTGAAGTCGAAATCTATAAAAAAAGGCACTCAGAAAAATTGAAAAATTGATAAATCACCCCAAATTGCTTAACACGATTTTATCTCAGGAACTATAAGTGCAAATGAGCTGAAATTTTCAGGGATTGTAGTCCTCTACTGGAATAAGAACCACCGAAAATTTCAGCTTCCTATCTATAATAGAAAAAAAGTTATAACCTTTCAAAGTTTTCCAAAATCTAAATCACAAGGTAGGTACCTTCTTACTGAAACGATAAAATTTCAAAAAAATTTTTGTCGAGATTTTGTATCCTAATGGTCAATCAACATACCCCAAACTCCATACACTAAATTATTCTCAGATTTGAAGCCGAAATCTATAAAAAAAGGCACTCAGAAAAATTGAAAAATTGATAAATCACCCCAAATTGCTTAACACGATTTTATCTCAGGAACTATAAGTGCAAATGAGCTGAAATTTTCAGGGATTGTAGTCCTCTACTGGAATAAGAACCACCGAAAATTTCAGCTTTATATCTATAATAGAAAAAAAGTTATAACCTTTCAAAGTTTTCCAAAATCTAAATCACAAGGTAGGTACCTTCTTACTGAAACGATAAAATTTCAAAAAATTTTTTGTCGAGATTTTGTATCCTAATGGTCAATCAACATACCCCAAACTCCATACACTAAATTATTCTCAGATTTGAAGCCGAAATCTATAAAAAAAGGCACTCAGAAAAATTGAAAAATTGATAAATCACCCCAAATTGCTTAACACGATTTTATCTCAGGAACTATAAGTGCAAATGAGCTGAAATTTGCAGGGATTGTAGTCCTCTACTGGAATAAGAACCACTGAAAATTTCAGCTTCCTATCTATAATAGAAAAAAAGTTATAACCTTTCAAAGTTTTCCAAAATCTAAATCACAAGGTAGGTACCTTCTTACTAAAACGATAAAATTTCAAATTTTTCTTTGTCGAGATTTTGTATCCTAATGGTCAATCAACATACCCCAAACTCCATACACTAAATTATTTTTAGATTTGAAGCCGAAATCTATAAAAAAAGGCACTCAGAAAAATTGAAAAATTGATAAATCACCCCAAATTGCTTAACACGATTTTATCTCAGGAACTATAAGTGCAAATGAGCTGAAATTTGCAGGGATTGTAGTCCTCTACTGGAATAAGAACCACTGAAAATTTCAGCTTCCTATCTATAATAGAAAAAAAGTTATAACCTTTCAAAGTTTTCCAAAATCTAAATCACAAGGTAGGTACCTTCTTACTGAAACGATAAAATTTCAAAAAATTTTTTGTCGAGATTTTGTATCCTAATGGTCAATCAACATACCCCAAACTCCATACACTAAATTATTCTCAGATTTGAAGCCGAAATCTATAAAAAAAGGCACTCAGAAAAATTGAAAAATTGATAAATCACCCCAAATTGCTTAACACGATTTTATCTCAGGAACTATAAGTGCAAATGAGCTGAAATTTTCAGGGATTGTAGTCCTCTACTGGAATAAGAACCACCGAAAATTTCAGCTTTATATCTATAATAGAAAAAAAGTTATAACCTTTCAAAGTTTTCCAAAATCTAAATCACAAGGTAGGTACCTTCTTACTGAAACGATAAAATTTCAAAAAATTTTTTGTCGAGATTTTGTATCCTAATGGTCAATCAACATACCCCAAACTCCATACACTAAATTATTCTCAGATTTGAAGCCGAAATCTATAAAAAAAGGCACTCAGAAAAATTGAAAAATTGATAAATCACCCCAAATTGCTTAACACGATTTTATCTCAGGAACTATAAGTGCAAATGAGCTGAAATTTGCAGGGATTGTAGTCCTCTACTGGAATAAGAACCACCGAAAATTTCAGCTTTATATCTATAATAGAAAAAAAGTTATAACCTTTCAAAGTTTTCCAAAATCTAAATCACAAGGTAGGTACCTTCTTACTGAAACGATAAAATTTCAAAAAATTTTTTGTCGAGATTTTGTATCCTAATGGTCAATCAACATACCCCAAACTCCATACACTAAATTATTCTCAGATTTGAAGCCGAAATCTATAAAAAAAGGCACTCAGAAAAATTGAAAAATTGATAAATCACCCCAAATTGCTTAACACGATTTTATCTCAGGAACTATAAGTGCAAATGAGCTGAAATTTGCAGGGATTGTAGTCCTCTACTGGAATAAGAACCACTGAAAATTTCAGCTTCCTATCTATAATAGAAAAAAAGTTATAACCTTTCAAAGTTTTCCAAAATCTAAATCACAAGGTAGGTACCTTCTTACTAAAACGATAAAATTTCAAATTTTTCTGTGTCGAGATTTTGTATCCTAATGGTCAATCAACATACCCCAAACTCCATACACTAAATTATTTTTAGATTTGAAGCTGAAATCTATAAAAAAAGGCACTCAGAAAAATTGAAAAATTGATAAATCACCCCAAATTGGTTAACACGATTTTATCTCAGGAACTATAAGTGCAAATGAGCTGAAATTTTCAGGGATTGTAGTCCTCTACTGGAATAAGAACCACCGAAAATTTCAGCTTCCTATCTATAATAGAAAAAAAGTTATAACCTTTCAAAGTTTTCCAAAATCTAAATCACAAGGTAGGTACCTTCTTACTAAAACGATAAAATTTCAAATTTTTCTTTGTCGAGATTTTGTATCCTAATGGTCAATCAACATACCCCAAACTCCATACACTAAATTATTCTCAGATTTGAAGCCGAAATCTATAAAAAAAGGCACTCAGAAAAATTGAAAAATTGATAAATCACCCCAAATTGTTTAACACGATTTTATCTCAGGAACTATAAGT